GCCTCACTGATAAAAACAGTGGCGCTATCAAATGTTGCCAATGAGTGGGTGTCTCCGATCAAATATGACGGATCACTATAACAGGTGTGCCTACACAAGCGTAAGAATTCCTAAAATCTGTAACCCAGGCGTCTTATACACGTACTCCTTTGTTTAATGTTGTTCACCAAACTGTTTTGGTCGATTTTATTACACTCACAAACTACGACGATGTAGACTTTAAAAAGTCTCAATGTAAATGCGAGTACACTCACCTATAAACTAACATTACTTCAAACTGAAAAACGTCGAACAAACTTAAATAATCTTTAATAACTCTAATGTCATAAAAAGGTCAGCAATGCCCTTTACCGTCAAAGCTCCACTTTTTTTTTCTAACACCTTTTATAAACAGGCATTATCTTTTTTTCATCAGACTGCACTTTTACGAAGTTAAACACGTGTCAACGTAAACAGAATGTTATCTATTATTGTCTTATCCAAACTCATTAACGTTTAACACACCTGTTCATTTTACACCAAAGTAAAGCCTAACAAATACGTTATGAAGATAAATAAATGTTACACAAAGATACACCTGCAAATTTTATCAACTTAAAATGTATTTATGTGACCTACATGATTAAACAAAAACCATCTGTGGCGTGGTCAGCCTTTCTGATAAATATAAAGAAACTACACAAACTAAAGTTATGCGTGGTATCGCAGCAGTTCTGCTAATCGATGTTTCGTAATGATACATATATTAAATAAACAATGGTCTCGACAATTTTTTTTTGTACCTATAGCTACTTAATCGTTAGTTATATCGATTTATTCTATTGGATGATTAGGCACTGTCTATTCCGGAATTAAATAGCAAGGATGACAATGTGATGCTTTAAGCTTAACAGAAGTCATTAATGAACTAGTTGCCCAAGCAGAGTTACTGTATGAAATTCCCATAAACATTCAAAAGAAATTTCATTCTAAAAAAAGGTAGGAATTATGGTTGGATATACCTACTCATGATGGATATAGATTGTGGAATCCCGAACCAAATTTACTAAATACAGAAAGTAAGAGTACCGTGCAAAATTTTCATCAAATTAAAATGTGAATTGCGCCGACTAGCTGAACCGAATGGGTATTCTTATACGTTTTCATACAATGTCGATTCGTCGATGCAAAGCATACTTCAATTTTCTTTTGTAATAGCGTTGCCATGGTATGTAATTTAACTTATTTTAGGAACTCAGTGTAGATCATTTTCAATATCCAGTAGACGCATTCCGCAATATTTAACGATAAATGTACTTCGTAGACTCAAATCTTTTTCAGTATCCTCACAAAAAAACAGTTGTATTATTGTTTCTTGTTCATAATTAACTCGCCATTTAATAACCGATTAATTTCCACATTGCGTGTTTTTTATCATTTGTAATTCGAATAAACTGCTTGAGTACATTTTAACACGCCATTGGTTAATTGATTAATTTCCGCATCGTGTATTGTTTAGAATTTGAAGATCGAAAAAAACTTACACGTTTCACAATTAAATCGCTTTCCCGCCTTTTACCCGCAAATTGTAGTCACTCGACCGCTAATTGTTCATTTGAAAACTAATTCTGCGTTTGTAACTAAGAAAAACGCGCGGACGAGATGTACACTTCCGTAGACACTACACATCTCTCTGGCTCGCTGTGCTCTTCGCTATTTGTATTAGACCAAAATGGAACCAACGCAATTTTTGAGATTCGCGTCCCCTTGGCAATAGCCTACCAGCACTTTTGTTCACACTACAATGTTCGTGTCGGTTAAACGGAACCGCGGTATCAGTGCCTTGGTAGCGACCCAAGCGTTCTAGATGCGTACATTTATCGTTAATAACTTACCGTAATTGAAGTTGTTGTAAGAAATATTTTCCGATACGAAAAACGGACGCAATGCGAAGAATTAGCATACACCGAAATAAATACAATCCACGTAAACACAAATAGATACTACTTCATCGATTAACAATGTTAATTCCTCATCACAACCTTAGAACTTTGGCAAACAATCGATTTCGGCATTATTCCCTTCAGAATCGAAATTTCACATCCGGAAAGGTTTTATGCTTAAGCGTTAGCTGCGCTTACGATAACTTTTTTCTCTAACTTCGCGATTAAAAGTCTCGACTGATGCTCGTCTGTTGTCCTATAGTTCCACAGTGTCATGCCAGAACGGAACCACCGCAAATTTTGCGACCAGCGTCCCCTTTTTATCATTCGCAAGGCTTCATTTTTATATCATCTGTTGCCGCAGCGCTATGCAAAATGGAACCAACGGAACTAGACGGTTCACTGCTTTCTCTGCTCAAAACCCATACATTCTTAACGCGCCTGCTACACATGTGAAACTGACAAGGACAATTCTATTTTATTCTATTTAATATTCAAACCTAACTTGGAAGTAACTTCCCCTAACTCATGTTAACTTACTAAACCAGATTAAATTCGCGCCAACACCCATGTATACTATATCTTGCAACTGCGCTAACCCTTAAAATCGCAAATAAATCTAAACTGCAAAGCGGATTCCCGTTACACTATTTCGCTTGCTTTATAAATAATAATTTGCTTTGCGAAGGAATATAGTTGACGAACATGTCGGAAATACTCCAATTATTATACTATATGCCGTTTGGATTTAGGATTATGGCCTTATATCAAATTTAATCCAAATTTTGAGTAGATTACAAAAATTAATAAAAGCTAGCGAGTATGAGTCAACTTCCGGTACAACCGGAAGTGTTAAAAAACTGAAAATATTTTAGCTGACACGAACAATGGATAACATAACTCTATTCTTTGGACGCCCTGCTTATTCAATGAGCGTTATTATACCCACTTAATAAGTGTTTATGAGGATTTCAAGCTGTGTATTGTCAAAGACTTACCTAATATCTTCTACATTACTTATGTGTCACTTAAAGCACGGAAAGGACTCTTTTTTTTAGTATCTATAAGCCGTAATGTAAACTAACGAATTGTAACGAGCATTTATTTATTTACAATTAATTGACAATAAACTTATAACAGTCTTGAAATTGAAAGTAGTATTTATCACTCACTATTTATAACATAATACGAGCGTAACCTATTTATCACTGATATTCCACTTCAGCAGCGCTGCTAGAACTAACTGAAGCACAATTCGATTTGCTTATATAGCAAACGCCCATATTTCTCGAAAGTTCTCGAGAGTTTCCAACGCTCTCAAATGTTTTAGAATGTTCTCAAACAAGCACATCATATTTCCTGGAAAGAATCCGTTTTCGTTTCTTATCGTCGATGCACAATCTTTTATGCGCCTCGATGTCTATCGGAATTTCAAGAATATTCGTTACAATATTAACTTTTTTACAAAAGTAAGGATTGAATGTGCTTGGCAAAAGTCCGCATAGAAGAATCAAGCAACTAGTAAAGCGTAGGTTATTAAAATTTGCTAATTATCCGCCATTGTGGTACTATGTTTCCTCTCTAGCATACAGTCCCAATTGATTGCGGTACTGTATGCATCGTCAGTTTATACCGAACAGAGTAACATACCTATCCGTCGCGAAAAGAGTTGTTCACGAAAAGAATAGGTAATTTAGATTAAATGGCTAAAGAAAGCTTAAAAATATGGATTGAAACTAAAATTCCTCACCATTCCAAAGAGGAAAAAGGTTATGGAAATAGAGGAACGCAAAAATAGGGCAACGAGAGTAATGAAGAACTGTCAAGATGAAGCCGAATAATAAGTAACATGTTCGCCCAGCTGACTATGAGATGACTTATCTTGCAATAAGGTCTTTTGCTGACGAAGTTCCATAAAATTTAGAAATGGCAAAAAAGATTTCAAGAAAGCAACGCCAGCACACAAAAGCCAGAAAGAATTAATACTATAGATAGGAAAAGAAATAAGTGAATATGTAGTACAATGAACACGCTTAATTTGTATACACGAGAGCGAATTCCACTATTTATCACTTCAGCATTGATCTTGAGATTGAAATTAATCACAATTCAATTTACTGATATAGCAACCAAAAAGCTTCTGGAGAAGTCTCTAATCAACATTTCGTATTCACTTATCGTCGGTGATTAATCCTTTATCAACTTGGTGGCGATTTGATGACGCATTGATATCGCTCGAGAAAATTCGTTACGATAGTATGTTATTACACTTGTTTTGTGTGCAATATTGTTGTGGCGTAGTCCATTCAGTGCTGAAAATAGACCTATCCTACTTACAAAAATTATAAAGTAATAATCTCAAAAGCGTTTTGTTGAAACAATTTGGGCATTCGGCCATACGTCGCATCAAATTGCATGTTTGTGTTTATGCTATTATGTAACTGAAGGACGGTGGCTTCTCTACATTTCAAAATAGGTCATCGGTCTGTGTGAATTTTTACACATTTTGCAACAGTCGCTTCCATATCCAGTGCTCTATGGAAGCCAGTCTTCTCATGAGTTTTTTGTCATACTACTACTTCCATTTGGTTTTCAAGTGTGCTATCCCAAAACCCTCTCAATAAAGATTATCCAACAAGTGCCCTTAACCCCTACATTGTATATTTGAACTGTCTCCCAATTTATCTTAATGATTAGCACATTAGCTAATTAGATGTAATTAATCTTAACGCCCCGAGGCCGATGTGTTTTTGAAAACGAGAGATTTAAGTAATTTTCAAATTACCATTGAATACTGGTCATAAATATCCTAATCGCCTTTTGTGCATGAATGCTAGCGATGCCAAATTGCTATACTTACCTATGTTACAAGGCAATACAAGAACATGCTGCTGAAGTATCATAATTATATGGGTACTTAATTTGGGTTTTTCATGTAAAGGCCGAGTTATTTCGACCTTGTAATTTTAGTTGCTCTATTTTACATTGGATTATATCAAAATAGTTCACAGTCATGGCTAAACGTAATAACTATTTTTAAAAAGCTTCAATTTTAAAATTCGCCTTTAATTTTTGCAGGTTGTGGTCTTCGAAGGACAATTCAAGCATCTACATGCTATTTGAGTACGTGTGCGGCGGTGAATTATTTTCATACCTGAGAAATGCCGGAAGGTTTAGTTCACCTACGGCCAATTTTTATTCGGCTGAAATTGTAACCGCCTTAGACTATTTGCATTCAAGAAATATAGTCTACAGAGATTTAAAGCCCGAAAACCTACTTCTTGATAAGAACGGCCATATGAAAATCACCGACTTTGGATTTGCGAAGAAACTAACCGACAGAACGTGGACCCTTTGTGGTACGCCCGAATATTTAGCACCCGAAATTATACAAAGTAAAGGACACAACAAAGCCGTCGACTGGTGGGCACTAGGTGAGTGTAAAAGTTTGTTGTGAAAGTAACGCATCCAAATCACGTTTGCTCGTCCACTGGGTCACTGACATTATTACAAATTCTTGAAAGCATAATAATACAACTTTTTATTATTACAGGGATACTTATTTACGAAATGCTCGCCGGTTATCCTCCTTTCTACGATGACAATCCATTCGGAATATACGAGAAAATTCTAAGCGGGAAAATAGAATGGGTGAAGCATCTTGATCCAGTTGCGAAAGACTTAATTAAAAAACTATTAGTACCAGACAGAACGAAACGTTTAGGGAATATGAAGGTATTTGTTTCTACAAGCTGCTAGTAATTCCTTACTGATCTCAATTTAACAGAGCGGTGCTGACGATGTGAAAAGGCATAGGTGGTTCAAAGGCGTCGACTGGTACCAGGTCGTCACAAGAAAACTGGAGGTAAGTTCAATCTTGCTCTTTCAGCCAATGATTAACAAATCATTCTTCAGGCGCCCATAATTCCTAAAGTATCGTATGACGGCGATACAAGCAATTTCGACGAGTACCCCGAAATAGACTGGAAATCAGCTAGGCCACTAGATGAAGATGAACAAAAACTGTTTGAAGATTTTTAACAAGAAATGTGCGTTGTGTACATATGAGTAGAGGAATAGTATTATAGAATTTATGTGCTATATCAAGTATTTATTATTACTATGTGATAAATTGTTAATTATTTAGGTAAACTAATAAGTGTACATAAGAGTGAACTTTAGTATTCTTTTCTTGACTAATTGTCGTTAGTTGCAAACAGAACATTAGGAAGACGTAGATCTTTTTGATATAGGATGCAGAAATAGATCGTTTTTTATAAATACGAAAGTGAGAAATAATAATTTATATTTTTTAGAAATCGTTTTCAATTGTTTTTCAGTCATTTTCAAAATCATATGAGCCTCGAAAACGGGCAACTAACGTTGCAAGAGTACATCAATGGTTGCCCTTCCCAGTTTGCATAGAAGTAGAAAACTAATACCAAAGAGTATACTCTTTGCTAATACCATTGAATAATATTCATTTATTATTCAAGGCTGATACTATTCATCACAGCAATTTTTTTCGCGCTATCTGTACTAGCCTTAAACTATCAACGGCACAGCAATCTTGATTTACCCTCTATAGTTACAGTTGGCAAATCGCTAGAAAACTTCTAACTTTCATTTCATTTCCTGCGAATCTTGGTAACAGCTCGGACTGGGTAGTACGAATAGGACTCCTATGTTGTGTTGCACTATGTCGATTTTTGACACGTGAGACACAATGGACAAGGGAGTTGAATAAAACGAAGAGTTTTGTGCGCAAGAAAAAGCAAGCAGAAAATGGAAAATTGCCCACAAAAGGTCAGGAAAACCCAAATCATTGGACAAAAACTGGCATAACACACAAATGTGTAATGTTCCTTGGGGGGTCTATCAAGCCGACACGGAAAACGTTGACTTACCCTATACTTACGGTTGGCAACTCTGGCAAAAACTACAAGCAGAGCCACCTACCTTTCAAATCGAAACGATGGTAGTTTCGCGGCACTTTTGATTTGGATGACAGTCGGCTCGATATGGGTGGCACGAATGGACTCCTACGTTGTGTAATCGGTTCTTTTATGTGTTGGGCCGTGAGACATAATCGGGAAGGGAATTAAATAAAAGACAGAACTTTTGTGCGTAAGAAATGACAAGATCAAATAAATATATTAACGCACACACAAGACCATGCCAGGGAAACCTTCTACGGGACTAAAACCCTGGCACAGGCCACAAAAATACATGAAATAAATCACCTACAGCAATAAAAGGCAAGAGAAAATACACATAAATAAAACATCGCAAATGGTATGATAAAAATCAGATAATCAAATCAAATGCAATTAAACAAGTTCATAAAATCAAAATTCACAAGACATCATAAATGCAGTGGAAACATGATAAATCAATTCAGTACAAAAACACATCAAAATACCTGTACGATCAATAGAGATAATACAACTCATCAAATAAACAAATTGCATGTACATAGGAAACATGTAAATGGTGTGGCTCTACTCCATCCTTCAGTTAACATAAATTAATTTACCACGAAAAGTACATGTGAGAATGCCATTGGTCAATAGCAAGTATTCATGTGAAAATCGATTATCGCTCAAACAGAACATACAGGGTGATTCCTATAGTACCTGCCACCGTTTGGGAGCGTGTAGGTGGTGCGTAGGGGAGTATTTTGATATAGGACACTTGGGGTCGGAAATCTAAAATAAGGGTGCCAGAGCCAAATTTACCTTCTGGAATTTCGCGCCTGTAGGTAGGCAACCCAACCGGCCGGCGGTGCACACGGAGCGATCTCAGGCGGCGATGTGTGGCTGACACTTGATCAGAATTTTGTTTAAACCCACGAAATCCCGTCTGCAACGACGCGTATCAAGTGAATAAACACTATGGCAATAGTATAATAATAGTTGGCTAGATGTAGGAAGTGCATTGAGAACAACGGTGGCCACGTTGAACACTTGTAAACGTTATTGCTTTTGACTGTCGTTTTCTCTCCTTCCTCCCCTAGGCACCCCCTATACGCTCCCAAACGGTGGAAGGTACTATAGGAATCACCCTGTATTTTAAATAGAGGAAATGTTACTGAGAGGGCCCCCATCTCATATTGCGAGACACAGAAATGCAGCCTGCATGAGCCGAGCAAGTAACAGATACAGCGAAAGATCTAACTGCATTAGGTACCTACTCCACGGAGACAGAATAACCCACTCGCACACGCAAACATCGAAACATCAAATAAGAGAGCCCCCCTTTCGTATAGCTAACGCACAGAAATGCAGCGCGCCACGAATCAGCAAGTAACAGATACAGCGAACCATCAAACTGTATTAGGTACTTCCCTCACGGAATAGTTACGGGTCAATCGAACAGAGCAACATCACACCGATAATCAACTCCTCATGAATAACAGAAGTAAATACTTAATTAAACAAAATAATGGCATAATCATCTGTACAGTATAAGACACAAACATGATTCATCTAACGGTACTCAAAACAAAGGCATGGAGTACGCCATCATTCAGATATCGTAGTTTATGCAAAATCAGCAAAATGTAAATAATATCAAATTAAGGCAAGAATTCAATGATTAAATAGCTAGTACAAGAAAGAATAAAACGGTTACTACCTGTAAATACACCTTCAAAACACCATCACCATAAATAATCAAGAATAATAAAAAAAAACCCGGGAAAGCGTGTCCCTTCCGTCGACCTCGTCGCCATCTTCTCTCCATTCTCCCCTAGCTTCGTTACCAAAATCCCCTAGTATTCGGCATCTGCGCAAAACGGTCGTTGGTTATATACAGAGCATATTATATTTTTGTTTCGGATGTAAACGTGTGTTGCCTAACCATCAGGGTGGATTATCACAAATGTAAGAAATAAATCAATTACGAAACAAAATGCAAAAGAGAAACACACCTCAAATATCTGCAGTTGTACAATAAAAATAAGATAAGTAAATCGTCTTAAATGCAGTTAAACAGATTAATAAAAACGAAACACAAGAAACATCATACATACAAATGCAAAACAAGATGTATTAAATTAGTACAAAAACACATCAAATACATCTACGATCAATTTAGAGAAAACAACTCGTAAAATGATAAATCTCATGTACATAAAAACATTCAAAATAACATGGTTCTGCTCCTGTATCAACTACCATTAATTTAACATGAAGAGTAGAGGTGAAAATGGCAACAGTATTCATGTTAAAGTCTATCATTAACAGATGAAACAGACCCACATAATAAACACAAGAAAAGTTAATATAAAGGCATAACCACCTGTACATCTTAATAAAAAAACATGATTCAGTTGACGGTAGGTAGGTACCTACACATAAAACAAAGCTTGGAGCACGCCATGCTTGAATAAACAAATATCAAAATCTAATGCAAAATGTACATAATAACAAATAGTGACACGAAAATGTAAGATTGATGATTAGCACAAGAAACAATAAAATGATTACTATCATCGAATCATCGAAAACTTACCATGTTTGCCGTATACAGAGCGTTTCGTATTTTTTCCCATAGTGCTCTTATTTCAGCTGCCTAACCGTAGGCGTTTCTCGCTACACTGTGCTGCTGCTGCTGCTAGAAGTGGCGCTGTATAGAAACAGCCACGTCAAACATCGCAGGTGGTCGCCCATTGGTCGCCTGTGGGCTGTGAGATGCACACAATTTATGCTATTGTATTTTCGATTCGATCTAGTCCATGCGAAGAAAAAGATTTCAGTTTTGCAATGGGTAGGTACCCACCTGCGACTGTTTTTTACACTAGACGATAGTAAGAAATGCTCACGCGCTTCTAATGACGTAACTGGTTGAAATTTTTGAAATACAGGCGCCATAATATACCTATAGAAAATAGCATCATGACAATTGACTTGATGACAGCCTGACATTAGCGACTTGTCTATCATTAGGCGATTTCTTTCGGTGATCCAAACGCGTTTGGATTGTCAAATCACGTTCTTTCGAAGTGTGATCTTATAATCATGATTGCTAAAATCGTGAACAAACTGAACATAAAAGTTTTATGATCACGAATTCCTAACCTATAAATGCAAGGATATTTTTGCTAGTCCATATTTGTAACTGAAGAGGAGCATAATCGCGCATGTACTTCCACTTGAATTTAAATTATTTTCATAATCCAAACAAAAAATACGTAATTCGAATGCAAATGTGTACTACGTAAACTTAACCATACTTTGATTTAAATTCGCGCGTTCTTTCGTAAAACGTGATCCGACGAATCACGATTTTGAAATCATGATTGCGAAGTAGCCGAAAGAAAGCGCCTATTTTGATATGGTTCAGGCGAGTCGCACATTGAGACGCACGCGGCGCACGCATCACAACCACTGACCTCTATTTTTTATTCAGGTCAGTGACCAGTGATGGATTAAACCCTTTAGAGGCCCTAAGCACAACCCCCTTTTGAGGCCCCTCTCCTAATAAACATTCAAAATGTTTAAACATTTTTAAATCAATGTGAAATTTATTTTGATTATGGTATAATCCGAGGTATAATCACATATATTGGCCATTTTATAATGATCAGGTCTGAAAAACTGATAGAATGTCTATTCACATCACCATTCAATCATAACCGAGGTCTTACCTTCAACCTTCCCTTCTACTTTAATATTAATTGATGTAAAGTAGGGTTCTAATTTGCAATTGGGTTCATAAATGGTCGCGATGCGAAAAGGGCACTGTGAATGTTGAATCGATTAGACTCAACTTTTGGCATTGCGTATTACATGGTTAAAGCTATGCGTATATTGAATTTCATGCAATTCGGTTCATAACTAACGGAGATGTCAAAAAAGGGTCTTCCTTATTTTTCGACCTACATTGCCAATCCACGAACTCAGATCTACAAATTTGATAAAGAATTCACCTGCAAAATTTCATCGTAATCGGTCCATTCGTTTTTGAGATATCGTGCTAACGCCCTAACGGACAGACACCGCAAAATTATAAACTCGCTGCTAGGAGCTCATTAATAACGCATGTAGGTACCTACAAAAAAAATTATTTCCGTTATTTAGCAATTTTAATCAACAAAAATCAATTTTTCCCAGAGATTTTTTCTTGCTAGTTATTAGTTTAGGAGGCCCCCAGACAAGATGAGGCCCCAAGCATGAGCTTATTGTGCCTGTGCGGTGATCCGCCTCTGCCTATTTATAATGTTTTGCTTGGGTAATAATGGGCTTTACCATGAATACTTATTACTGGCATTTTCACGTATACCTACAGGCCGTGTTAAATTAATTGAAGTCGATGCTGGAGTAGCGTCTTGGTTTTGACGTGCACATGCAATTTACAAATTTATCTACGAATAATTTGTATTGTACTTAACCATCCAGGTACTAAACAAGATCCCGCTTAAATTTGAAAAGTGGCACGTGATCAAACATCTAAAGCAGGGCCCCCTTACGTTAGTTGTAGACAACGCTTTGACCTGAAACCTAGCCTGATGCACAGAAGGGAAGGAACGTAAAATAAAACACTCAAATTGTGAAAAGTTTGTTTAATAATGATCGCAATTATTAAGATTGTGCCAGCTCGGAAATTTAAGTCGAAATAAATTACATTGCAAAAATAAAGTTCACCGAATAAAAATAGAAATAGACAGGGGAAAAAGAACTTACCAATAAAAAAACCAGCCGTCAGATTAATATCAAATTGTGTTGTAAAATTAATTGTTTGTAATGATGTGAATGCGTAACATAAAATTATAACATCACAAAAAGTAGCAGGTATACTTCAAGAGGTAGCATATAGGTTAAAAACAAGTTTCTGGAATTATGGATCAGGTAAGCAGGTACCAAAGATTCTAAGAAAGGGTGAAATACACAGGATGTGACTCATCTTTGGTGCAATAAAGTCCTTTTGTTAAAAGCAAGATGAAAAATTACATGGCCTTGTAGGCAAATTTAACTAAAAACAAGATATGTGGAAATTATTGAATCGCCACTCATTTATCGCACATAGATTCTAAACTGAAGAGCTTTGATTAGCGTAATCCCGCTCCTGCAAGATAGGTAACCCGCCCCTGGTTTCGGGGTTTCGAGCCTACAGTTGAATGTCGAAGACAATCACGGAATTTGGGGGTCGTACTTCAAATGGTTACAGTTTTTACCACTCCCGTGACTGCTTCATTCACGGAGAAAAATGTTAGTAACAAACAACAAGTCAGTACATACATCAAACGAATCGGTAATTTCCACATATTAAAATAAAATGATCAAAACTTATATGAATGTTACTTCAGGGACAAGACCAAGTAATCAACATCAATAAACATAAATTAAGCAAGCATTACACCAAAAACGTAAACAATTACAAACAATAGCATAACGGTATCACATATGTGATCCTGCATTGTGGTTAAACCAAGTAAATTTCAAAAACAAAGATTCAAACACACACAAAATATAAAATGCGGCATACAAAACACAAATACGATATAAAGAAATACAAAAATTACTACCTGCATTTAAAAAAACGCAAAATAACAACAAACATTTATGGAGCGACGCGTTCACGACCGCCATTCAAGACAAGATGCCAAACGTAACCCACATTCGTGCTTTCTAGGTGGCGCAGGCAGCTTTTCCCCACCTAGAAATTGCATGGTTGCCAACTCTCAAAAATGTTTGTATCGTCGTAAGTTGTATATACAGGGTTTCAATATAGGGATTAATGACCAGGGACTAATAGCTCTTACGCCTTCTTGTACTCCAATCACAAAATTTCCTTAAATTTAATATCATCCATGGAAACAAAACAAACGTCAAAAGTGTAAATGTCAAGCGGGTCGTGTACTATTTGTGTATTTTTTTGTATTAAAATGGATAAAATCTCAAGCTATTAAAATTAGTCGTAGATAAAGTAGAGTACCTATATTACTCGCAATAATGGCTATTATACTCTCGGAATTTTACTCCCTCACCGCGGAAGCGGCTTTGCAGTTCGTAAATATTCCTTGAGAATAATAGCTATCATTATTGACTCGTGATATAATCTACTATTACCAGTTGTTTTGCCTAAATTGATTTGTAGTAGTGTTCATGTGTTTTTGTGCCGAATTAATTGATTGTTTTCCACTTGTATTTATGATGTCTCCTGTACGTGTTTTGTTCTTGCTGATTTAAATGCATTTGATTCGATTACCTGATTTGATTTATCGTGATTCTCACTTGTATTGGTGATGCATCTTGTGTCTCGGTCTTGTTGATATACTGCATTTAACTCGATAAAAAAAAATTTTTCACAGCATTTTTTATTTTTTATTTTGTTTTCCTTTGCCTTTTTTTATTTTAATGCTCTTAACATATTTTTTTTTATATTCCTTATAATTTCGAATAGTTTTAATACATGAACATTATTATTGGGGCAACCTGTTATGTTCATAGATAGGTAAATACATAAATAAATAACTGATTTTGATTATACAATTTGAGATGTTAGATTTGTGTATGTCTCTTTTGCATTTTGTTGCTGTAGTTGATTTATTTCGTATATTTGTGTGAGTTATGCTAGGTTAATTGTCTATAATTTTCCTGTTATCACCTTGTGTGCGTAATATGTTTTATGTGTTCTTGTCTTTTCTTACGCAATTATGTCTCACGTCCCAACTCCTAAAAAAACCGATTACACACAAGCTTTTCGTGCTATCCGGTCCGAACCGACTGCGACATAGATTCAAAAATGTCGCGCAATGTCCTTCGTTTCGACTAGAAAGTCGGCTTATATTATTTTTCCCCAGAGATGCAAACTGTAGGTATAGGGCAAGTCATGATTACAGTGCCGGCTTGGAGAATCCCTAAGATCATTACAAGGTAGTAGTGGCATCGTGACCGATTTGCATAAAACAACATAATTCGGGAATCGTATTCACCCTATTTCAGCCCATTATTATTACTGGTTAACGAAACGCCGGCCCGTGTGGCGTAGTTCAGTTAAAGCTGAACTGTGGTGCTGAGGGTCCCTGGTTCGAATTCGGGTTCGGGCATGGATATTTGTAAATGTATAGTGGGTTGGGTTGGTAGAGAAGCCTTGGCTGAAACCCCGCCCACTCAAAAATAAAGGCAATAATAAAATAAATAAAGACTGGCGAGCACCCACTATGCGTAGATTATCGCTCGCTACATACCAAGACAAGGAGGAGAAATGGGATGCTGCTGTACCAAAAGTTAAATGGGTTTCCGTTTGAATCAGAGAATCAGAAATCTCCCAAACCAGGGGAAATTGTTGGAACTACTATATTAAAAAGTAGGTCAATCCATTAGGTACCCAAACTCGCGCATTACTCCAAGGAAACCATATTTAAAAAACGCTGCTGCCGAGGCTGCTGCTATCGTTTTTTGGTTCAAGATCAATAAGACTAATATATTTCCGTACAAAAAACAATTTTATTCTTATAAAATGGTCGGGCTTCTTTGGTAAGGTTTGGTAAGTACTTGCTACAGACATTTACTAGTCAACATCTAGCTTTCGAAAGGATCCATCTATTCCAAACACATCGCCAACGCTCTTTGGTTTACCAACTCTCTTTGATTCATTCGAGCAATACTGTGCGTCATTTAAAAACCATTCCCGGTAACTCTCAACCTTTGTTTTCCATAGATCTGCCATATTAACCGATAGGTAAATATTAAAAAAAAGTCGCACCTTACCTATCAAGTCGGTAAGGTTTCCATTTTCGCCTCCGAGCTCTACTGGCAGTGCCTCCTTCGAGATTACGCTGTAAAGGTCTCCGAAATATGATCCGTTACTAACTTTAATCTAAAAAAATACGTAAAGCCATTTTCGATATATTAAAACTGATACTGACTCTATTTCCATTTTTCCCCAGTAGGAAAGGCCGGACAATTGTTTCAAAAGCAGTTGGTACGTTTATAAAGTGCAAACCTTTAGGTCTCAATGGATAAACGTCGTGTAAACACGCGGAGGTTTTTTTAATAATGGAAGGCGTCACTTGCATCACATGCCCCATTGAAACGCCTTTGAGGTTATGGAAGAGCTGATGACCAGAAACCACAAAGTTGTCGTCCTCGTTCATCAAAATGTCGAAAATCATAAAGTTCACTTTTATAACGTTGAGAATGTCCGCTGTTTCCGGGTTTAGTGATTCGGTAGAGAGATAAAGCACTTGTGGGGACCCTTCTGATTTTGGTAGTGGTAACCAATAGCAACTGCAAATATTGTTTTATCATCGTAAACCGACATCGGGTACGGTTTCGCTTGCTGCAAGTGTCTATGAATCATTATTATTCATTACATTGCACTGCAATATGCTGGTGATAGGAAAAGCAAACCCCCAATTGAAGTAGATAAGAACTAAAGACTTACCCTTGTTTCAATATTTCTTGAATCTCCGAAAGAAATGGGTCCCTATTGTTGAAATATTCCGGTAGGAGGGTTTTGAACGTGTAGTATGACTCCAGTTTTTGTTTGCATTTTTCTAGACTGAATTTGCAACCACGCAGGAAGCTTAATATCAATTGATCGTCTAGAAAACCATTGTTTATTAAGCTATTAACAGAATTACTTTAGCACACCCGTCCTTGCGTTCAAATGAGGTTGTCTTTGCAGCCATTCCTTTATGTGACTTATATCTTCGGAGATACGTTCCGGTACCTCGTATAATTCAGATTCAGCTAACTTTTGCAATGTTGCGGAAAGCGGACGAATCGACATGCTATCACTTGAATTTGTATGTGAATTCTGAAATGCTGTATTTATTCTTATCAGTACCTGTAGGTATCTTATCTTGGAGTCCTTATATATACATTTACCGGCATGCAAGCGTAGGTACACCTACCTTTTTCCGATTGAGTAACTGAGGAACACACTTCTTAGAAAGATGTCAATATAGGCAGCCGACATGAAAATCGCACAGAAATAGGATTGACGTCACTTATCTAAATTGAATGTAGACTTACCTGAAAGCCGTAAAACGACTGGATGTGTCATAAGTTGGAAGCAATTAATTTGAATTTTTATTCAGCCTTCAAATTTTACACATCTAACAGTATTGTCTGTTTGATTTGCATATTGCCAAAATTAATACGCTGTAGACAGGTGGATTAATTTGCTTCTTTTACCAACAGGCGCTTCTCCAAATGGGACCATATCTCATAGATAATACCATAGAATTGACACATATTTTGCGATTCTGAGGATGGTAGGAATAGAATTCAAAGGTGCATGTGGTCTGCTGATGCACTGATGTTCACAGCCCAAAGTTCGATGTTTACGAAAATATCCACTCACATCATTGCTGGCGACGGCTATTATAATCATTCATTAACCTTAATTAAATTAAATACAAATGATATGCAATTTTGTACAAGGTAACGACGTTTTACGATAAAGCCTTGTGTATGCTTAAAAATGTACGCAATTGTTTTAATCCAGTGCGACACATATGCAGTGTCAGGAAAGAACTCTTTCGGGAAGATGGTTTTAATGCTATTACAATAATTATCGGATTTGTAAATTAGCATATTAGAACTATTACCCAAGTCACCACAGAATCACAGAGCAGCGCTATGGAAAATAGCGTTGTGTGTAAGTTGTGTTGCCTAACATTTTAATGGATTTACAGCACTTAGCCTAAGGTAGGGATTGCATATTCAGTAACAACAGATGCGCTACATTCCCGAATTACCACGGTGTATTCTATCATTGAATAAAAACACTATAAGAAGCCTAACCCCGTGGAAATAAAGCGCGACAGAGTTTGAACTGAGAATATAATGGGAACACTGTCAATAGAGTCGATTCTTGAGCTGAGAAGAATGAGAATTTGCTTTCCTCCTATTTACCGCAAAGAGAGTTCGGCGGTCACAACCAATGCGGGTGCAAGGGGATTTGTGAGATTTGTCGCGCTTTCTTCCATAAGCGTTAGGCTTCTTATAGTGTTTTTATTCAATGATTCTATCTTATACCGTGCCAAAGATCATACTACACTAGATAGACCTTAGAGTAGGAGTCTAAGAGATAGACAACGCTGTATAAATTTTATACTCCCATAATTCGTTCGTCACAATAAGTCGACTGGGTACCCCAGAGGCTATGTTGTTATTACAATAATACAAACTACCTGGCTGGGTACGAAGACGCGCGAAATTGTAAAGCGCGAATATTTTTAGAACAAAGGGTTATTGTTGGGGGATGTCGGTGTCATTCGCAAGCTGCGACCTTGTGTGGGTGTTAGTTGTGAAGCAATTTGTTTATCTCGTTTTACTTTGCTGTAAATTACGAAGCTCTGGATAGGACACATAGGAAATTATTTTGTAAATTACAGTTGTAACGGGGAATTAGTTTATAATTTACAGTTGTAATTGGGAATTACACTAATTTACAGTTTTAACTGGGAATTACACTAATTTACAGTTTTAACTGGGAATTATGCTAATTTACAGTTGTAACTGGGAATTATACTAATTTACAGTTATAACTAGGAATTAGTTTATAATTTACAATTGTAATTGGGAATTACACTAATTTACAGTTGTAACTGGGACTTAATCTTATTTACTCTTGTAACTGTCAAGGATAATTCCCAGTTACAACTGTAAATTAGCAGAATTCCCAGTTACAACTGTAAATTAGTGTAATTCCCAATTACAACTGTAAATTATAAACTAATTCCCAGTTACAACTGTAATTTACAAAATAATTTCCTATGTGTCCTATCCAGAGCTTCGTAGTAAATTAAATTCCGTATATCCACATCTTGTTTTCAATTAAATTTTTTGAACTTCTAATAGTGTATTAGTCCTATACAGGGTGGTGACTTGCGTAACGCATCATAGGGATTTCAATGTAAAATTCACAACATGCAATTATTGGCTCCCCAAATTATTTTAGAGCAAAAATGTATTAAGGTTTTTTGTAGAAAAAATTTTTTTACCTTAATCAACCGTATTAGTTTTCAATTTTTTGCATAATAAAGACGGAAAATTGGAAAAATAAAACCCCCATCATTTTCAATAATCTGTGTTGCCATGGAATTTTATGATACAAAAACGACGCCAATATCCGTCGTGCCATGGAATGTCTGCTATAAATCAAATCAAATTCTATCAAAAAGTATTATATTTAGACAGCGAATTCAACATAAGAAAGACCAAATTACTAAAAACGGTTTCCTAATATAACAATTTACAATAAATGTTCGAATAAGTCACCATTAACTGCAAGACAGTAAACAAGTCGATTATAAAATCCATTTCGAACTTCTGCTAATTGATAACTGGATATCTTTTTCTTTTAGAAAATTCCGTGGCATCGTAGATTATTGAATAAGATGCGGGTTTTATTTTTCCAATTTTCCGTCTTTATTATGCAAAAAATTGAAAACTAATACGGTTGATTGACCTAAAAAAATTGTTTCTACAAAAAACCTTAATACATTTTTGCTCTAAAATAATGTGGGGAGCCAATAATTGCATGTTGTGAATTTTACATTGAAATCCCTATGATGCGTAACGCAAGTCACCACCCTGTATAGTTTTGATAGTGCAATAATTGTATACAGGGTGAGTTTTTTTTAATTTTAAGCATTAGGATCTCGGAAACCGTAAGACATAGAGATTCGATTAAATGAGGAAAGAGTTGTCATTTTAAGAGCTTATTTAAGATATGCTTTTGATTTTTGAAAAAAATCCACAGTTTACTAGATATTGAACGAAAAACAGATTTAGTGATTTTTCTTTTAAATGTTGTAGAATTGTAAAGAACAAAAATCGTACATTTTTTGCGCTTAATAAGGTACATTTATTAATTTTCGTTCTTCTTTTAATAATTTTCGGGTTATAACTCAAACTTAACTTTTTTTTAATGGCAACCATAGCTGGCTGTGACATTTTTAAAAAGTGCATTTTTTTCTGTTTACGATGATATAACGTTCATTGTACTTGCTTTAACAAATAAACATGATACAGAACTGTTTGTATTATTAAGAGTAGTAAAAACAGAGTTTGCCATGGGAAACATTTTTGTTCTCTTAATTACTCAGTCTATGTAATATTTAACTTAAAACTTTAGGGCCACAAATAGAACAACAACGAAGAGAAATTATGAAATATTACATTTAAATTTCTACTTTGAAGTAATTACATGTAAAAAAATTAAATTATCTCGGTAAATGTTCAAAGTGCTCATCATTAATATTTACACAAAAGCGGCAACTTTTCGCGATAGAATTTACAGCTTTCCGTTTTATCCTACCCTCTAAAATGCGAAAGGCATTTACCACAGCATCATGTAGTGTTTTATCGCATAAGTTTGCTGATAAATTAAACCCTTTTAGAACACCGAAAAGGAAAAATCTAAAATTGAACGATCTGGCGATCTTGGTGATCAAAGGGCCGACCCGTTCCTACCTATCCATGACTTTGGAAATAGTTGGTTTAGGTGCACTCGTAGGCACTTGCAGTTGGTTGTACGGCGTGGCACCGTTGTGGTGAAACCAGCGTAAATTACGTCGTGTTTCCAAATCTAACCCATCCTACATATCTAGAAATTCATTTGGTAGCAAATGAAGATAACGTTGGCCTGTCCAATTTTCATCGTAAATTAAAGGTCCAAGAATTCGTGATCCAATAATTCCGTACCAAACATTAAATCCAAGTTATTTTTGAGGTCTTCTACAATAAACAGCAGTATTTTGATTATTTATTGTTTTCCATAGCATGATACGATCTACTTTTAATAGTGTATTCAATATAAATGTTCATTTAACTTTCATAGTGAATTTTGGAAAATGGCCTTTAAATATGTTAAATATGCCACAGTTACACTATTACCTATTTCACTAGACGTTGCTTTCCATGGCAAACTTTATTTACCTCTCAATAATACGAAAATTCCTGCAGCGCGTTTATTTATTAAAGTATATTTAACAAGCCTTATATCGTTATAAAGAGAAAAATTTGTCCATTTTAAAAATGTCAAAGCCAACTATGACGATCATTAAAAAATTAAAGTTTGTATTATAACTCAAAAATTGTAAAATATAAAAGGAAATTAGTATGTTCATAATGTTAAGCATTAAAATGTCTAAAACTTTTATTCGTTTCATTTTGCTGTATTTCTAAAAATAACTATTCTACAACAATTAAATGAAAAATCACTAGATCTGTTTTTCGCTCATATTTAGCAAACTGTGGATTTTTTTTCAAAAAACAAAAGCGTATCTTAAATAATCTCTTAAAATGACAACTGCTTCCTCATTTAACCGAATCTGTATGTCTTATGGTTTCCGAGATGATCCCAATGCTTAAAATGAAAAAAAAACTCACCCTGTATATTAATAATAGTTTACAAAAAACCATTAAGTGATCCCTCAAATTTACAATGGGGCACAAAGACAGAGACAGATGTTAATACAGTTTGTTGGGGTTCAAATGATCTTGATAAATTCCGATTTTCAACTCGCAAAATTTGAAATCAAACTCATGTTTTTAACAGTTTTAAGTACAATAATAATAATAATAATAATAATAGTATTTTATTCCATAGACAAACTAGTTTGTGTGGAAATTGTCAACAAATATTTAAATTACGAGTAGGTACATTAAGTATTATATAGGTAAAAAACAAATTACACATTAAATAGCGACAAACAAGTTACATTAAACAGTAAAATATTCACTTATATCATAGTGACATTTGTCAACTAGAAACAAATATAATTTTTCTTTAAAGATTGATAATTGCCTACAGTTACGTATTATGTAAGGTAAATGGTTATAGATCTTAATTCCCAGATTGGAGGGTGAATTGATTCCAATTTTTGTCTTAGTGAAATGTGGTCGAAGATTATCATTACCTCGGATATTGTATTGAGCAACCCCGTGAATATGAACAGGACACTTGAATTTCTGAAAGATGTCTGTATATACCTACCAAAGAGTGTGACCTGAAAATGTGAGGTAGTAGAAACAGTTCCCAAACAAGTGGAAAACCGCAACCGTCGTTGCGATACCAAAACCTGGCAAGCCAAACATTGGCCCGTATGAATAAAAGTAAGCAAATGCTTATACCAAAGAGTAGTTACTCTTTGCTTATACTTACAAAATTCAAAGTAAATACTCGTAAGTGCTCCTTCGCACTGGGCGACTTAGCAGCGCTGGTTAGCCATGGGACGGGACGAATTGCAGAGCTGCTGAGCAGCCCAGTGTGAAGGAGCACTTACGAGTTTTGCAAGTATAAGCATTTGATTACTTTTATTCATACGGGCCAATAATCCAGAAAACTACAGGCCAATTTCCCTCACATGCTG